CCCCAAAACCCCAAAACCCCAAAACCCCAAAACCCCGAAATAAGGTATCATGATTGAATCCACTCACAATTTGTTTCGCTCAAAGTTAGGACTAACACTCGTATCTCAAAAATAAGTTTGAGAGTCTATTAAAAAAAGAGAATTAATGTACCAATTTAGATCTGTAATTCTCTGATAGTTTTGGTCCCAAATCATGAAGAAGTCTGAAAGAATCTTGATATTATTATCATATTGTTCTAGAATTATTGGAGCATCTCCGAAGACATCATACATATTAAGAAAGAGTTTGGCTTCATTTGAGAGCTCCTATCTATTAGATAACAAGGCTCTTGGATCCCACTCACCAAAGTAATTTACTCTTAGAAACTTTATAAACAGGAAATTTTTAATAAAAATTAAATAATTTTAAATACATATTCTGTAGAAATGGAACTCAACCTTAAAAATATAAAGAATATTAGAAGATTCTCTAAACCCAAGCCAGTCACAAAGATTATAAGCACAGATATTTGCAGTATGGCTATGAAAGATTTGAGTGATGACAAATTTGTAAGCCTCTGTTAAATATTTATTCTAACTTAAATATCTAGGACACTAACATTTCCAACCATATTCCTAAAAGCCAGGGTAATCCCTTAGGTACTCAAAATTCGGCTTCAAAGGATTTACCCATATCAAATTTTAATTCCCTGAATGGGCTTCAGACTCAGACCTTGAACACGAAGTCATCCTTTTGCAACATTAAGATTACAAATAAATTTGGCTCTTCACTACTACCTGCCCTGCCAGAGTCTCCTGCTCAACTCATTGCTCACAAGAAAATGCTAAAACTCGATGGGCTCTCATCATTCGCCTCATCAACCAAGACTCTAAAACAATCTTGCTCAAAACTAAAAAGTAAGTAACTGGGCCACCAAGTTAGAAATCAAGATAATAAACCTTAAAAGAGGCAGGAATAATTCTAACTTGAGCTCACTCAAGAAAGCTAGTGCACAAGGGCTCAGGATGTCCCAGTTCAAGAAACACAGCAGGAACCCTTCCAATAAAGTACAGTTATCGTTAAAGCCGATTATAAACATTTCTAAGAAGTTTGCTGGAGAAGAGCCTGATAGAAATAAACCTTCAGAGTCTTCTTCCAAAATTAATGGGATTAAGTAAGCAACCATAAAGCTAATATTAAATAGAATTGGGCCTGGTAGCAAGCAATTCCTATCTAGAGAGTCTATCATTGATCTCAAGATGTTCTTCAACCGTAGAGGCAAGAAATAAAGGACCTAATTTTTTTAAAGAATAATTCATAGTATGATTCCTTGATTCACTAGCTCTTATTTTACTATATAAGAATTATTTCAAAAATTGTAAAATCAAAGGGGTTTTGGGGTTTTGGGGTTTTGGGG